AACCTTCTTGGGTGTTTAACAGACATACGTTGAGGCCTATAATAATTTGGTCAGAGGGACATAAAGGACACTTTTTGCTCCTTGCCCTCCTAGGTTGACTAGTTCCAGGGGACTATGAGCATCTCTCAAAATGTCCTATAATGGTGGTGGATCACCTGTTGTCTTGATCAAGGAGACCAAGGAGACCCCACCAGATGGACTTGAACCAGTGTCCAGTCTACAAAGAGGAGGGTCAACACAGAGGAATCATTTCCAAGTGAAGCCAACCATGGTCAAGTAGGTCCTTTGATTTATCTTCACGTAGGCGGAATTGGTAAAAGAAAGGAGCCAGGGGCTCCTCCCAAGCCCATGTGACCCCTGAGGAACAGATCCACAAATGACATTAAAAGTAAAAATAAATTGGTTTATCTGGGCCAACTCTATGGCCTTACATACCCAAAAGGAAAGTATAACCAAAGATTAAAGATTCAATATAATTTTTTAAGAGTCCATATGGATAGCTAAAGGCTACATAACAAGCAACAATGCCAGATAAGAGATACCTTCTTTTGAGTTGTTGGCCAGGGTGGCCAAAGGGACTCCCAGATAGTAACCCAGCATAGAACTTGGAAAATGAACAGCAGATCCCCATCTTATCTAAAGGAATATTGACAACTGATTGCTGCTAGATAAGGAGAAGCTGACCTTCCTAAAACAAAGACCTCTAGATAGGCTGACTAGATTCACCAGATGGACAAGTAGTGGGGAATGGCTGAGGGTGCCAACAACACAGCAGACAGTAGCAGGGATATCAGAGTATAAGGGCTCTAGTGGGGGGAGGGAGGCTATGGGAGGGCGCCATCTGGGAAGTGGGTATATAGTTAAACAAGATGGCTTGGGATGTCCTGTGTGATACACACACACACACACACACACACACACACACAGAAAATCAACAAATTTTTTAAAATGTATTATATTTGAGGAGGAAGCATGGAAATATATGTCATGTTAATTAGTAGAGGTGAGAAACATTACCACTGAAATCTACCCAATGACTTTATAGACATACTCAGGCGCCAAGAATCCAAGTGCAACCAATTATGACTAGTAATAATCAGATACATACAGATTAGAGATGCATGTGCCAACATCTCAGTGTTAGTAGCAAAAACAATGAGTCTTTCTGCAAGGAACAATATAT